CTGAAGTCAGAACAGAAAAATCTTTATAAGAGATAAATTGGATTCTCACTGGAGTTTCAGAAAGCTCCCTGAACAATTCGACTTGAGCAAGCATATTCACTGGTTAACATTTTTTTTCATCAAGTGAATAACATAAATACGAAAAATGTCATAAAATCATTATATCTTGCACCATCGAATTTTTTGTCAATTCGAGTGAGGATAAATAGCAAAATTACCCATGATATTACAAGCTAAAACTAGCCATATAAAGAAAAATAACTCCATAAGGAGATAGTTGGTAAAAATACTGATTAGGTTTAAGTCCTTAAGTCAAAACTATAACGCAGTGACTCGCTGTTAACTTTTAGTACTTTCTCGTTTGATAATAGGAAACTCGCAAGGCAGGACCAACGCTGTCAGAGGTACGTGTTATTTTTTTTTACCGAATTTATGTCGAATACAAAGTTAATTAGGTTGTATACAATATTAAAAGACTTCGAGGAAAGGTAATTTCTGGACATCGAATTTAGATTACGGGAGTTATTTTCTCTTTTCACCTTACATTTTTTCACCCAGAAGTTAATCACGTTTCTCTTATAGGATGTTTTGACAGGTCACGATACTGGTGTCGAAGATATATCAAGCACTGTTTCCACCCTTTTGTCTCTACGTACTGTCCAAGAACTTGTGGTGGCTGTTCAGGTAAGTGATTTTGTCTCCGCAGAGAGAAAATGAACTGTCAGTATCAGATAGAAAGAGATGGTGTTACATAACTTCATCAGTTAGTATTGGATCAAAAGTGAAAGACAGTACTTAAATATATGTTAACCGTGTGAACTGGTTTTCTTGTTGATAATGGACTGAGATCAGTAAGAGTTTTACCCTTATCCTTACAAATGAAAAGTTGTTTGACCAATCGTGATGACGCGCACTAGCACACGTTTTCGCGCGCTTTGCCTCGGCTAAATGTCTTTTCTTCGAGTTTTGATTGGGTCACTTGATTGCCTGTGTCTTTCGTAATTGGTCAGGATGATTACTTGGGGTTTTTATTTAATTTAATTTTATTGTATTTTTTGAATCATTCAATTGAAAACCGCTCGATTGGAACGGGTCAGATCAAGAATTCTGAATCGGTCGGTTAACTCAGTCTAAACAGTTCATTTCATATCTGGACCACGCCTGATCGAAGTTGCATGCAAAATACAGCCACCTCCTCGCGATGAGAGGCGACTCTATTTGCAAGCTATGCACTGAATAGAAAAACAAATAAAGAGGGTCAATCACAAATTGAAATGGGTGTAAGGAAAATGCCAATGAATCTATATTGACTGCACACAGTACTCAATAAACAGTAAATTAAAGCTACATTTTTGGAGTTTTTCTCGGCAGCTTTTTTATTTCCTTTTTTTTTTTAGTATCCATTTCTTAACATTCAGTATTTTTCTATATGATCATAATCCCACATAAGTGTGACTTTGAATACGGAATATGCATCGTATCTGATCAAACTGTAATTATGACTAATCCACCGATACTAAGCTGTTTTCTGTCATTAGATGAAGGAGGCTGGAGCTCTTGGAGTGACTATGGTCCGTGTTCTAAGTCATGTAGTTACGGCTATCAGTCCAGGTCAAGGAAATGTAAAAATCCGTCATTCGACAGAAGGGTTTGTCAAGGGCCTTCAATGGAACAGCAGCGATGCAATGAGCACGTGCCATGCCCTGGTATGAAAACCTAGCATAGGGAATATTTTGCAGAGTGGAATAGCATTACCTGTTGATAGCCGTTTTAATTGATTAAATAAAACACTCAAAGAAAAAACAATCAAAACAAACAAGATCTTTCTTCACAGCATTAAAATATTTAAGTTACGAGCATGACTTTGTCATCCTATCTTGCTGCTCCCGAACCCCGGTATTTATAATAATCCGTTATAAACGGAAGCCGAGAACATAATGAGCAATGCTGCCACATGAAAAAATCTGAGTAAAACAAACTGCCTATTTCTGCAGGTAATTTTAGAATGCTAGCTGCTGCCGTGCAACCGTCTGAAGGCACATGGACAGCTTGGGGTGCATACAGCAAGTGTAGTAAATCTTGTGGGGGAGGAATGCAATCTAGAATCCGCATATGTGTAAACCCGTCTCATCCTTTCGGCCACAAAACATGTAAAGGGGCTTTCAGACAGCGGCGACCTTGTAACGTGCAACATTGTCCAGGTAAGTCAAAAGGCTGGCATGCATAAATGTGGAACTTTTATTTACCCTCGACAATGGAGAAGAGCAAACAACTGAAACAAAGGACTTAAACTGAACATAACATTGTTAAGAATCCCAACATGGAGAACGGATCCATATTTAGAAATAAAGAAATGTGTGGTCACCTCTGAAATTTTATTAAACAGTATCTAAGACTAAAACACACTTTGATACAAAGTAACAAACATGACTACTTTGTATCATGAAAGAACGCGTGGAATTGGTAAATGTCTTGGACATTTTCAGATCCGAACAACATACATGAGTTATGAACCCTGTATCAGAATTTCTCACTGACGTCAAACAGTTTGTTTAATTAGGATTATTATTTGGCGATGATATAGTGTGCTCTTTGTTCACAGTAATCACTGATAAATGAGAAACAGCTTGAAGCACCAGCTAGTCCTACTTCCAACACTTTGTCATCGAGTGCAAAGTGCAAAGTTGCCTGTCAGTTTCGTTTTTAGTATTCTTATCCTAGTAAAGGCTTTTTTTTTCTAACTTCCCTCAGTTGATGGTGGTTGGACTTCATGGGGACAGTACGGCTCTTGCAGTAAAAGCTGCGGCGGAGGAGTACAATACAAACGTCGAAAATGCAAGAACCCTCCACCCAAAAAGGGCGGTAAACACTGCACAGGACCATCTACACTGTCTCGTGACTGTAACACACAAACATGTTCTGGTAAATCTCTACGTGATTTCTCCTCAAATTAGAAGAAAGAAGGTCAACTAAGCGAAGACCGTCAATGTAAAATTGCATGTCAGGATGTCCTTTCGCTGCTCCACCCTATTATCACAAATAAACTTGAGAAAATGTAGAATAATCGGTCGAAATGAAACGTATAGGAATGCATGCCCATTGCATCGTTCCAAATCATCTAACTACGGCTACATATCCTCCTTCTTTTTGTATCCAATTAGATTTAAATTCATTGCAAAATATTAATGAAGACTCTCTAAAAGTCTAAAATGCACTCAAAGAGATAGATTTTAATGAATAGTCTGATCATCGAGATTTAAAAGTAACAGCCTACGATCAGGCCCTTCAGGCCCTTTGTAATTAAGTCTATCTGTATTCGCAGTTGATGGTCATTGGTCTCCATGGGGACAGTACAGCCAATGTACCAAGAGTTGTGGAGGAGGCTCACAGTACAGAACCAGAATTTGCGATAACCCGGCACCCTCAAGCGGAGGTAAACACTGTACTGGACCATCTCAACAAACAAACGTGTGCAATACCCAAGGGTGTCCTGGTAAGTATATATATATTCTTTTGGCTCTTCTTCAAGGGGATGTTATGGAAACAAAATGTAAAATTTGTTCTTGGGTGGTCGATCAGAAGAGTACTTAGTTCCCTACTTAAGGAACTGTGGAAGAAGAATTTCGCTTTCAACTATTCAGCTCGGGTTTGAGTGTTTGACTTCGCTGACAAGTTAAGTTGGCTCTCCTACTAGCCAAGCTTTTTCTAAGGGACAAACTGGGAATAACTTGTCAACAAATTATTCATTTTTAGTTGATGGTAATTGGGGTCCCTGGAGTACATTCGGAGAGTGCTCAAAAACCTGTGGAGGTGGTATGAAGTATAGAAAACGAAAATGTGACAACCCTGCACCGGCCAATGGGGGAAAAGATTGCCAAGGATCATTCAATGAGGCTCGGCATTGTAATATACATCCACGCGCTAGTGAGATAATCACTTGATGATCTTCTTCTTGTTTTTCTTAAATTGATCGCTTTGTTGTCTTTTACTGGTTTTCATGCGCTACAAGAGAAATGAGTTTAACAGCTAATCATCGAGATAGTCATGTCTATTGTCTCCTCTTTGTACTTACAATGAAGAAACAGTTTCAGTCAACAAAGTGACTGCTAAAATTTATAAAAGAAGGAAAACCGGCTGGGTTTGTAAAAACGATCAGTATTTTCCATGGGATACAATTATGAAAAGAAGTTTCCTTTTCTCCTTACTATGGAGGATGAAAATGTCATTTCCTTCCCATTTCCGCCAGCAGATCATAATCTTTTTAAATCTTATGATAAAAGTCCTAGATGAGATATTATAATGCAGATAATACATTTATTTCCTCAGTTGATGGTCATTGGTCTCCATGGGAACAATACAGCCAGTGCTCCAAAAGTTGTGGAGGAGGCTCACAGTATCGAATGAGAGCCTGCAATAACCCAGCACCCTCCAGCGGTGGCAAACGTTGTCTTGGACCATCTCAGCAATCAAACGCGTGCAATACCCAAGGGTGTCCTGGTAAATATATACTTACATTTTGATTTATTCCTTTCCTTAAAGCTTTGTTTGATTGGGAGCCATTTCTATGATTATAAATATAAATGAACATGCTGCAGAATAGATGAATAATTAAATAAATAAATAAATAAATGTATTCCAGCATTTTATCAGAAAACCAATAGCGTAAAATACAACGTAAGGAGTGGAAACTGAACTGAAACTCTAATAGACTACGAATGGCTTCCGATGAAAGAAATGACTTCGTTTACCTTTCTGTGTTATTGTACAAATGCGAATAACTAAAACTAATTCATAAAACTAATTCATTTTTTAGTTGATGGTAATTGGGGACCCTGGAGTATGTTCGGACGGTGTACAAAGACTTGCGGAGGCGGTTTGAAGTATAGAAACCGAAAATGCAACAACCCTGCACCGGCAAGTGGTGGAAAAAGCTGTCAAGGGCCATCACTCCAGGCTCAGCACTGTAACACACAAGCATGTGCCAGTAAGACATTCGTGGTTTGTTTTACTTTTGTTTTGTTTTTGTTTTTGTTTTTGTTTTTGTTTTGTTGTTTTTTTTATTCTTTAATTGTGATTCACACTACTTACAAACAATGGTACATCTACTTACACTATTTACAAAAGTAATACAACCACTAAAGTCGATTACATTACCGACAAAACGTTTTTATACAATTCAATTACTTGCGCACTACTTACACTACTTACAATTCAATGCAATTACAGGTGCTACTTACAATAATAACTGTTTTACTTTTGTTGCTAATTTTTCTGTATCACTTCTATCCCTGCTGTAAAGGAATGCTCTCAAGGGTATGATAATTGAAAGTGAAGAATGATCATCGCAGTAAATTTTCCAATTTAAGCAATTGGAAAGAAGAAGCCTGAAAAAAAATCATTGCTTCAACGGGATTCGAATCCGTGACCTCCGCGACACCGGTGCGTTGCTCTACCAACTGAGCTATGAAGCCACACATTGGCGGTGGAAAATTTACTGCGATGATCATTCTTCACTTTCATCTACAACCGCAGTTCAAATATGAATTATTTCATATATACTTCGGTATGATAAGTATTGCTGATTCATAGAGCGAGTATCCTTTATGGCCTTAATTTTCTCCAGTAAACTCCTTTGACGAGTTTGGCATTTCCTGCTCTATATTCCCTTTGCATTTATTTCGATCATGATAACTAGTGAACATCCTTCAAAAAAGAAAACAAGTGGCATTTTAATTATAATCGGTGGTCTCCATCGTGGCAAAGAATGAATTCTTCCGTGATAGAAAAGGCCGGAGGACAAACCCAGAAACCATTTTCCCATGCGGAATGCGGCTAACAATTTCTACCGCTCTCCGTTTGATTAAAAGAGTATATTTGCATTTCATAATTACCATGAAACTCTTCAAGGACAAATTGTAACACAGATTTTAATTAATGGAAAGCAACTGATTTATTCCCTCAGTTGATGGTCATTGGTCTCCATGGGAGCAGTACAGCCAGTGTTCTAAGAGTTGCGGAGGAGGTTCACAGTACAGGCGAAGAACCTGCGATAACCCAGCACCTTCTGGTGGTGGAAAACAATGTCCAGGGCCATCTCAACAAACAAACCATTGTAATACACAAGCATGCGCTGGTAAAATATAATTTGCTGTATTTACTCGATACTTTCCCTCTCGTTTGAAATATTTCTCGGTTCTGAGATTCAACGGCAAGATATGATCTAGAGACGAAACATCAGAAACATAATGCACCATTGTATCCCTGGAAGTATGTGTAGGAACCAATTGAAAGCAAGCAGCGACATAAAAGTAAGAAATTCTATAATTAATGGCAAATAGAATTGCTGTCCAGGTTACTCAAAAGTGGCATTGTAAAAGAAACATTTACTTTGACAAAAGTAAATGTCAAAACAGTCGCTGAAAACTTCAAAACAGTCGCTGGAGTGTAACATTTGCATTTCCAGGTAAATAGTTTATCTAAAAAAATATGGCGATGGGTGGACTCAATGACAACTTACCCGTGCTTTACTTTATTTATTTTATTTTATTTTACTTTATTTTATTTTATTTATTTAATTTTTTTTTTCAACTATTAGTTTCGTATTGTATTTACATAAAGTGACTGTGCATTTTACATTGACCTCTTCCAAGCTCTTTAAAGGTTAAGGTTGTATAATCAAGGAAATTTTTTGTGAGATCTTTTCTCATTGTGGGGACATCTACTCTTCAGAGAAAAGTAAGCATTTTGTTTCAGAAAGGCAGTAGTTTCTAAAATTCATGAAATATATCATATATTCATATTTAGTCGATGGACAGTGGTCCCGGTGGAGCATGTACGGAAAATGTTCTGTAACTTGTGGAGGAGGGTTCAAGTACAGAAGTCGGAAATGCGACAATCCTGCACCGGCTAGTGGAGGAAAAAACTGCCGGGGGCCATCTTTTCAATCAGTAGTCTGCGAGACACAAGCTTGTCCAGGTAAGTTTATTGTCTTTTCTTCCTTTCCGGCATACTCGCCCTCACTAGGAATTTCATGGTCGTGTGAATAATTATGAAACTTTTATTCGGGTTTGAAAACCAAAGTGACAACTTCTTAGATGAAAAAATATCCAGCGTCATCAAAAAAAAAAAAAAATTCTCATTACTGTAGCTTTGTTTGTGTAAGCCTTTTTACAACTGTACTTAAGTTTCCTCTATGATGATCGTTATGATTAAGTTCCTGCGTATGATTGTTATGAAGAATTGTCAAATGTGATACCGACATTCGGGAGACTCAGTAAGCACGGCGACTGAGTTGAGTTCCCTGTCAAAAGTAACAGTGAATAAAGTTGAGTAGCACATGGATGTTAACCATTTAAAGCGAATGATGCCGGTACTTTTCAAATCTCCACAGTAAATGGTAAGTGGTCCTCGTGGAGCAAGTACGGTGTATGTAGCGTGACATGTGGAGGGGGATCTCAATATAGAAGTCGCAAGTGCGATAAACCAGCTCCAGCAAATGGTGGTAAACCTTGTGTTGGACCAAGCCAGCAATCACGGAGCTGCAATTCGCAACCTTGTAAAAGTAATGTGACTATATATATATATTTTTTTATCATTACTATTTCACGGATTCTTCTAAAACAAAGGAACAGAAGATAAGTGGCTACAGATTGTATACACCTATGCTGCGTATCTCGGAATTGAGCATTGACCTGTAAAACCACCTGATTTCGGTGCTCGCAATACTGAAATCAGTATTTTGTGCTTAGCCTATTTAATATTTTGCGTACAAAAACCAAAGCCAGCTTGAAATATACAAAGATAAAAGGAAACCTGCCTTCTATTTTTCTTTTATTTTCTTTTTGTCCCTATACGCCTCTCCTTCGTCGCTGTTTCACGGCTGTAATCAATTGAATTGAATGTTTGCCACTAACCAAGTTCCTGATATTAAACTTTTCTTTATATCCTTTTTTTTCTATAATGATAGCTGATGCGAACTGGTCCAAGTGGAGCAAGTACGGTCCATGCAGCAAGCCATGCGGTGGAGGATCTCAATACAGAAGCCGAAAGTGCGAAAACCCAACATTCGCGTACAATGCCAGAGATTGTGTGGGATCGAACCGAGAATCACGGAGATGCAATACACACCCCTGTAAAGGTAAAGTGTCCTGTTAACATTAAAAATTTGACATGGTACCATGTACTCAGTACATGTACTCAGTACTTTTTGTGGATTTGAGGGCTTTGTTAAATAAATAAATAAATTAAGAAGAAGCACATCGGCCTTTCACGAGGCTCCTTCATTGTTGCCTGTCCTCTATTTATCACCTAGCTGTTCAGAGAGTAAAACCACTTTCGTTCGCCTCAACGATATTGTACATAAGTTGATAACTTTTTTTTTTCAGTTGATGGTCACTGGTCCTCTTGGAGCAGGTACGGTAGGTGTAACAGACGATGTGGAGGATACCAATACAGGAGCCGAAAGTGTAACAATCCAGCACCAGCAAACGGTGGAGCAGACTGCGAAGGACCAAGACGAGAATCTCGGAGATGTAATTCGTACCATTGCCGTGGTAAGGTGGTCGCAAAACATACTTTGATTAGAAGCTCCTTTTTAAGCTCTCTATTTTCTAGTCTGCCATTTTTTAAGACGTTTTTCATCAATACCAATAACAAGTAACACCGTTTCTGCAATAGTTTTTGAAAAGATTGCGTAAAAAAAGAGATAAAACACTCAATTTTCGTCAGCACATCATTCTTCAAAATACTTTTTTACGATAACTGCAGAAATTCTCGCGCGCTCATTGGTTAATTTGCATTGTCAATAAGCGGACAGACACACGAATTTATAATTTATTCGGTGCGTCAACGGGCGAGAGCGGACAATTTGACAATTTGCTATCGTAAAAAACAAATTGATGTCAGTTGTTAATGCGTCTGTCCTGTTACTGACAATGAATTTCGTCATGACATTGTCAAAGTAGTCTGGGGAACAACAGCTACTTTGACAATGTTATGACGAAATTTATGATCATTAACAGGACAGACGCATGAAAAACTGACGTCAATTTGTTAAATAGATATAATTTAGAAATAATGTTTTTTTTTTCCCTTGTATTATGTGCCAATTAAGAATTTTGACCTGATTTTGGGTTCGCTGATTATTCTTATACAGTTGATGGTGGTTGGTCGTCTTGGGGTCCTTACAGCAAATGTAGCCGCACTTGCGGATCAGGAGGCAGGCAAACAAGAAGACGCACATGTTCACATCCAGCTCCCTCATATGGTGGCAGACCGTGCCGAGGATATTCCCATCAGACCAGAAGATGCGGAAGCCGAGTTCCCTGTGAAAAGAGTGAGACCTTAATTATTTTATTATATTACTTGGATGTAAGGAACAAATACCTATAGACCGTCATTTCAGAAAAATAGCATTGAAAAAAAAAAAACAAGTGTCAAACACAACTGGCCATGAAAAATATCAGTACAAATATATAAGTGTATATTTCTTCTTTCAAGATATTTTTGTTTTGGGATATCACCCAATGTTGAGTAAGAGATGTCACGTAACAGTATTTCAGTCAAGGACCCTGTGTTCCATTATTTTTTTCAAAACCCCAGATGATGAATGCTCACTTTTCAGAACCCTTCCCCACCCTAGCTGCTCACTTTCCACTGGGACTGTAAAACAGGCCTACTAATTTTGAATTAGTCCTCGAAGGGGTATGTGGCAAAGGAACGCTACAACTCATTGGCCCTCTAATTTACATTTAGATCTAAACGGCAAGATTCTGTCCCTCCCTATTAGCCGAGAGAGACTCGAGCTCTTCGTATTACTGCTAAAGGATATCTGCATCTAAACTGCAAAGCCGGTAAACACCGGTGATGACTATAATTATATTAACAGTTCTTAGTATTCCTACAATACTTTGTCCCCGAGTTCCTCCGCAATTGGAAGTGATTAATGGCTACTTTCTTTTCTGAAGCTTGCAGAGACGAGCGAAGTCACGGCTACTGTAAATACGTCTTGATGAGTTATAGATGCGGACGGTATTACAGATCTTGCAGAAAAACCTGCGATGCATGTATGTATTTATAATTTAAGGCACCGTTTTCCTTGTTGTGATTTCTAATTTCAGTGCGCACGCATAAAGGTTACCGTATAGCCTTTTAGAGCACTTTTAGAGCTGTCTCTTGTCCAAGGGATGTAGCGCGTCCCGTTTAAACTGTAGATACCGAAACCCCTATATCAAAGTATAACTTATAGAGCTGGCTATCACACGATACCAAGAATTTTAAAATAAAATGAATTGTCGAATTTTTTCACGACCTATAAATATGAGCGAGTACGTTGGCTGTTATTCGTAACTTTCTAACTGATGAATAACAGCTTGAATTGAATAAGTTCTTTCTATGCACTTACACCACGTCCAATGCTTGCAGGCCATTACTATTCTGGTTAGATGAACCCCTCATAGCTGAGCAGTTAACAGGTAACGTAACATTCTAAGCATAAATAAGGGGTTATGTCAACGGGCCAAGGGGAAATACCTAGAGTATTCTATTAATGATTTATGCCAAAACAACCAATATCGACATTTGGAGTTAGCATTTTCACCTCTTTCATCTCTTTTGCCTTCAATTTGAATCTTGCCGTACTGACGTTTTAGCTGGGTAGTGTTGATTTCTTTGGCTTCATTACATGGATTTTCTTAACTTCTATCCGTTACACCGGAATTCGTTTTATCGTAGTCCTGTGAATTGGGTCGGGCTATTGAAGAATACTCATTATAAGAAGAAACTTTATATATAACTGGAGATTAGCTGTAGTAGTTTTTCTCTGTATTTGAAAAGCAAAACCACCGTCATGTAAAACGAAATCAGTATCATAAAGTTTCCAAAGTACAATGTAGATAAGCGCTAAAGTGTTAGTAATGAGCCAAATAGCAAAAAAGGACAGCTTAAGCTGGTAACAATAGTAGAAAGTTAAGACGGATTACTATACGAACGTCAAAGTTTTAAATGATAGCTATGCCTCTTTCAATAAGCTCCAGTTGATGGTATCTCTAACATGTACATCTTGTCACCCGTTTCTTTTCACCGGGAGGGCGGAAATGTCAGAATTAGGTCCGGGTGGTACTCCCAGAAACGTTGGGTGGGAGTGTGCGGCCCGCTTCCCAAAACACAGCTGCCCTAAACATAAGTTATGAAGGGCTTTTGTTAATGGTCTTATTGATAATGATGAAAAAGTACCTTCTTCTAAGAAACATACCCAATTCAAGACTGGAATGCTAAAACCATACTCTATTTAAGACCAAAATGGCCAAAATTGATATCCCAGCTATTTATGACCAAAACGGCTGAAAAACCCTACCCTTTGGGGCCTCACATACCTACATAGCCCATATAAGGGAGTACCCCCTTCCGGGGGAATTAGGCAAATTGTCTTGATTTATTGCTATCTTAATGAGATTTCTTTCTGTATCACATTAGTTTATATCATTTCTAATCAATAACGAGGTATATTCTTTTTCTATTTCCAGAAAAAGGAAAGATAGAAGCTTTTTAAAGGGACGTACTTTTGTGACGGAGTATTAAACACCCTTCCTTGCGGGTTATGGAATTACTTGTAGCAGGATTGAGAAAAGAGCTGTAGCTGTTAATATAATATGTTCTTTTGTTATGTTTTTCGTCTAAAGCGATGCTGTAATGTTACTTTTTGAATTATTAGGTCACTCCCGGAGATGAAATTTCATAGAGATTTTAAATAAAATGACAAACGTAGTAGACATTATTATTTTTCTCTTGATTATTTTCGGTCTGTCAGCCGATGTTCGGTTATTTCTTCGTAGATGTTAATACGTCCATGCGAATCATGGAGATCGGAAGAACCAGAAGGTCTTTCGGTGCCAGTGTTTACCTCCAGGCTCCGTAGCATAAAATGCCTGAAGGTGCATGTATACCACTTCCTTTCGTTAAGGGGCTACTGAAACAAAATTTTCGTATGTGAGATTTTTGCTTAGTAATAAAGTTTCAACGTTACTTGAAAACACTGCATACTTTTTTTCGCATACGGTAAGCGAAAACTGCTTTTTCAGCCGTTCGAAGTTGGCTGTTTAAGCCCAAAATTGGCGGCCATCTTGGCGCGGCCAAAACAGTCTAGTGACGTCACTAGTTGTGTTACTCTAATGCCGCGTTGAAAATTTAGAATGATTATGGGAGAAGAGGATACTGTTCAAAGCCCCCAAAAAACATCTTAAGGACATCTCAGAGCTGTAAACAGATAATAACAGTAACCTTAGACATGAAGAGGTGGAGAGTCGATCCTGGGGCTTTTCAGTCTATTTAATTGGATATTTCCAAGATATTTTATGTAAGCAAGCAAACAAGTGCGAGTTCTTAAATCGCAAAATGATCGGGACACTTGGCCAAATGGCCAGCACTCAGTTCAACAATCTCTACACTCATAAGGTAAAAAAGACATGAAAACAAGAGAAAACGGCTTTTGAAAATATTATCCGGAGTGCTACTGTACGAATCGTAGCAACAACTGTTCGAGTTTTCGAGTCGCTTCGCTTCGAGGAAACCGGACGCTTTGTGAGTTTCACCGCGGACGAGATTGTGCTAAAGTGACCTTTAGTTCAGTTGTATCTGCTACATCCTACAAGTTATCACACTAGCGACAATTTAAGACATCCTCTTCTTTTATATGGAGGGAGCGAATTTAAAACTATAGAGGTTAGCTAAGCTGCCATGACCCTACAGGTATGTTTTCAGGAAACGAGAGACATAAGTATGCGCTAAAGAACTTAAAGTAATCCATCGGCAGTGAAATATTGCAATTGGGAGATGCGTGTAAAAGAGAAGCGAAATTCCCGCTTTGTTTACAATGATACGTATGCGGCGATAAAGCAAACCCTGCTGTGGATCACAATTTTCAAAGATACTCTTTGTCTACCACAACAACTTTGACTTATTACTATCATAAATAGATGCCCTCTGTGTGCAAAGAAGTACTCGACTCAAAGCTTGTGGACCGTTAATAACTTCGTGATTGTGCGGATGGCTGATGCGCTTACCGTTTCTAATGCAGTAAAGTTGCCGAGGATATATTCGAACCTTGTTAATAGACCTTAGATAAACGCGAGAATCCAAATTTCAGAACCAGGTTGAAAACAGACGACGATATATCGTGTTTAGGCTTCAGGACGTGGTATAAAAGTTGCCACAGACGACGATATATCGTGTCTTCGAAGTCTCCAGTCGAGTACTCCAGATGTTCGAAAAGTATACTGAGCTGTTCTAATCTGTAGCATTCATTTTGGTGAATCTACACTCTTTTGGCGCCCTCCAACGTTTATGATGTGTATTTCCTGTCAACGCTGGACAGAAATTACAAGGTAGAAAACTAGCAGGTATCTACAATATGAAGAATAAACTTCAATAAATCAGATGAAAACAAGAAAGAATCTATAGCGCTTCCTGCGTGAATACAACCAGTGACGTCACAAGGTCCTTAAATTCGGTTCCAGAGCCCGGACACAGTTTTGCTTCAAAGTCGATTTCGGCAGCTAAAAAAAAGCACTTTCCGTTAGGATTTGACAGAAATAAAGTTTACCATTATTTTAAGCACCTTTGAAACTATAGATTGGACTAACAAAAGAGAGTAGGAAAATTTCGTTTCAGTAGCACTTTAAGATACCAGGGATTGCAGACTAGTTACTAGCATTCTTATTAGATTGCCTTGACATTTCCCATTTCCCATGTTCCTAGTTGCGATCGACTTCTGAAAAGAAGCAGTGTCACAACATGCATGGCACTTCTAGTCCTGCTTAGCTCCCTTACTGATATATTTCCATATGCAATCCACCGCATTTGCATCCCAGTACGGGTTGTGCTGTCCAAACGTACAATGCTGTGCAAAAGTAATACAAACGAAATTCGTCGAATTTTGTTCTTTGTTATCGCGAAATTTCGCAGACACCTGACGCCTTTCGAGACGAAAACTCACAGAAATTTTGCGGAAGGGAACCAAATTTCGCAGAAGTAGTACCAAAATCACTCCAAGTAGCAAAAATAGATCTTTATTCTCCAAAATAGCATGTTTTGTAATTAACAAGTTAATTGAGTGCAAAAAGTACAAGTTTTACTTTCAAGTCATTATTTGTTAGCTCTTGCTTGATGTTGAGTCCTTAGCTGACACATTATCCCTTCGAGCTGAAGATGAAAAGTAAGGAAAAAAAATAACTGGTTTAGTAATCATATTTCAGTACCATGCAAGTTGATGTCATTTCTCGCTAATGATTGAAACATTTCATATCAAGGAGAATTCGGATATATATATATTTTTTTACCATTTCAGTTCTGTATTTATTATCATCACCTCTATTTTGTATTTTATAACACTGATAAGTTGTTTAGAGAATTAGAGGAATATTATTAATCTTGGTGCTGAATTCTAGTGCCCTGTTAAGAAGTTCAAAGCCGACCAAAACTCTTTTCACCCTAAGAACGCAAGCATCAAAAAGGTGAGTCTATCAAAATCAGAACAATCTGATTACGTTAATGACTTTCAATTAGCCCAAGCGCTTTATATCACTTTCACTTAGCTAACCCTTTGGCCGCTTCCAATTTTGTTGTTTTAAAATATAAGTGTGCAGAATACTCATTGTCAGCCAATCAGATTCAAGGGGAATTGCTTGATTGGTGGGCTTTCACATCGACTGCAGCCAAAAGTGGTTCTTCTTGTTGCCGACCAAAATGACCGCTGTATGTGGGTCACGAATGGTTGTACCATCTGTGAACAGTCCTTGATTTCTTCTCGCGTCAGAGAGTGAGAAATTCTGTTCAATCCCTTTCGAATTTAATCGTTGATTAGAATTTTTAGAAATTGCTATTTTTCACCAGGGTTTAAGGAAAAGATGGCACACGGCTCAAAGTCGATTGAATTTAATATGAATTAAGTTCGGGTTCTGAAAGCATAATATTAAACTAGCGCTCCTTTCTAAAGAAGCATGGCTAAAGATGGCCTCCATTGTTCGGTGAACTGAGCATTTTCAAGGCTCAAATTAATATTTACAAGCCCAGCTGGCAGCTATTCGCCATTTGAACTTCTAAAATGCAAATTTATGCAATATAAATTATATTTAAGAGTAGATGAACCGACGTTTCGAAGATCGAATAAAGATTAAACTTCAAATAAATGAGCAATGAAAGGACCAAAATCCAAATATATTCATTGAGGGAAACCTACGAGGTGTTGCACCTACACAAACGTTTAAAATGAGTAAACGAGTATTAAAATGGATCTCTTACCGCAAAAATTGCANGATGTAGCGCGTCCCGTTTAAACTGTAGATACCGAAACCCCTATATCAAAGTATAACTTATAGAGCTGGCTATCACACGATACCAAGAATTTTAAAATAAAATGAATTGTCGAATTTTTTCACGACCTATAAATATGAGCGAGTACGTTGGCTGTTATTCGTAACTTTCTAACTGATGAATAACAGCTTGAATTGAATAAGTTCTTTCTATGCACTTACACCACGTCCAATGCTTGCAGGCCATTACTATTCTGGTTAGATGAACCCCTCATAGCTGAGCAGTTAACAGGTAACGTAACATTCTAAGCATAAATAAGGGGTTATGTCAACGGGCCAAGGGGAAATACCTAGAGTATTCTATTAATGATTTATGCCAAAACAACCAATATCGACATTTGGAGTTAGCATTTTCACCTCTTTCATCTCTTTTGCCTTCAATTTGAATCTTGCCGTACTGACGTTTTAGCTGGGTAGTGTTGATTTCTTTGGCTTCATTACATGGATTTTCTTAACTTCTATCCGTTACACCGGAATTCGTTTTATCGTAGTCCTGTGAATTGGGTCGGGCTATTGAAGAATACTCATTATAAGAAGAAACTTTATATATAACTGGAGATTAGCTGTAGTAGTTTTTCTCTGTATTTGAAAAGCAAAACCACCGTCATGTAAAACGAAATCAGTATCATAAAGTTTCCAAAGTACAATGTAGATAAGCGCTAAAGTGTTAGTAATGAGCCAAATAGCAAAAAAGGACAGCTTAAGCTGGTAACAATAGTAGAAAGTTAAGACGGATTACTATACGAACGTCAAAGTTTTAAATGATAGCTATGCCTCTTTCAATAAGCTCCAGTTGATGGTATCTCTAACATGTACATCTTGTCACCCGTTTCTTTTCACCGGGAGGGCGGAAATGTCAGAATTAGGTCCGGGTGGTACTCCCAGAAACGTTGGGTGGGAGTGTGCGGCCCGCTTCCCAAAACACAGCTGCCCTAAACATAAGTTATGAAGGGCTTTTGTTAATGGTCTTATTGATAATGATGAAAAAGTACCTTCTTCTAAGAAACATACCCAATTCAAGACTGGAATGCTAAAACCATACTCTATTTAAGACCAAAATGGCCAAAATTGATATCCCAGCTATTTATGACCAAAACGGCTGAAAAACCCTACCCTTTGGGGCCTCACATACCTACATAGCCCATATAAGGGAGTACCCCCTTCCGGGGGAATTAGGCAAATTGTCTTGATTTATTGCTATCTTAATGAGATTTCTTTCTGTATCACATTAGTTTATATCATTTCTAATCAATAACGAGGTATATTCTTTTTCTATTTCCAGAAAAAGGAAAGATAGAAGCTTTTTAAAGGGACGTACTTTTGTGACGGAGTATTAAACACCCTTCCTTGCGGGTTATGGAATTACTTGTAGCAGGATTGAGAAAAGAGCTGTAGCTGTTAATATAATATGTTCTTTTGTTATGTTTTTCGTCTAAAGCGATGCTGTAATGTTACTTTTTGAATTATTAGGTCACTCCCGGAGATGAAATTTCATAGAGATTTTAAATAAAATGACAAACGTAGTAGACATTATTATTTTTCTCTTGATTATTTTCGGTCTGTCAGCCGATGTTCGGTTATTTCTTCGTAGATGTTAATACGTCCATGCGAATCATGGAGATCGGAAGAACCAGAAGGTCTTTCGGTGCCAGTGTTTACCTCCAGGCTCCGTAGCATAAAATGCCTGAAGGTGCATGTATACCACTTCCTTTCGTTAAGGGGCTACTGAAACAAAATTTTCGTATGTGAGATTTTTGCTTAGTAATAAAGTTTCAACGTTACTTGAAAACACTGCATACTTTTTTTCGCATACGGTAAGCGAAAACTGCTTTTTCAGCCGTTCGAAGTTGGCTGTTTAAGCCCAAAATTGGCGGCCATCTTGGCGCGGCCAAAACAGTCTAGTGACGTCACTAGTTGTGTTACTCTAATGCCGCGTTGAAAATTTAGAATGATTATGGGAGAAGAGGATACTGTTCAAAGCCCCCAAAAAACATCTTAAGGACATCTCAGAGCTGTAAACAGATAATAACAGTAACCTTAGACATGAAGAGGTGGAGAGTCGATCCTGGGGCTTTTCAGTCTATTTAATTGGATATTTCCAAGATATTTTATGTAAGCAAGCAAACAAGTGCGAGTTCTTAAATCGCAAAATGATCGGGACACTTGGCCAAATGGCCAGCACTCAGTTCAACAATCTCTACACTCATAAGGTAAAAAAGACATGAAAACAAGAGAAAACGGCTTTTGAAAATATTATCCGGAGTGCTACTGTACGAATCGTAGCAACAACTGTTCGAGTTTTCGAGTCGCTTCGCTTCGAGGAAACCGGACGCTTTGTGAGTTTCACCGCGGACGAGATTGTGCTAAAGTGACCTTTAGTTCAGTTGTATCTGCTACATCCTACAAGTTATCACACTAGCGACAATTTAAGACATCCTCTTCTTTTATATGGAGGGAGCGAATTTAAAACTATAGAGGTTAGCTAAGCTGCCATGACCCTACAGGTATGTTTTCAGGAAACGAGAGACATAAGTATGCGCTAAAGAACTTAAAGTAATCCATCGGCAGTGAAATATTGCAATTGGGAGATGCGTGTAAAAGAGAAGCGAAATTCCCGCTTTGTTTACAATGATACGTATGCGGCGATAAAGCAAACCCTGCTGTGGATCACAATTTTCAAAGATACTCTTTGTCTACCACAACAACTTTGACTTATTACTATCATAAATAGATGCCCTCTGTGTGCAAAGAAGTACTCGACTCAAAGCTTGTGGACCGTTAATAACTTCGTGATTGTGCGGATGGCTGATGCGCTTACCGTTTCTAATGCAGTAAAGTTGCCGAGGATATATTCGAACCTTGTTAATAGACCTTAGATAAACGCGAGAATCCAAATTTCAGAACCAGGTTGAAAACAGACGACGATATATCGTGTTTAGGCTTCAGGACGTGGTATAAAAGTTGCCACAGACGACGATATATCGTGTCTTCGAAGTCTCCAGTCGAGTACTCCAGATGTTCGAAAAGTATACTGAGCTGTTCTAATCTGTAGCATTCATTTTGGTGAATCTACACTCTTTTGGCGCCCTCCAACGTTTATGATGTGTATTTCCTGTCAACGCTGGACAGAAATTACAAGGTAGAAAACTAGCAGGTATCTACAATATGAAGAATAAACTTCAATAAATCAGATGAAAACAAGAAAGAATCTATAGCGCTTCCTGCGTGAATACAACCAGTGACGTCACGAGGTCCTTAAATTCGGTTCCAGAGCCCGGACACAGTTTTGCTTCAAAGTCGATTTCGGCAGCTAAAAAAAAGCACTTTCCGTTAGGATTTGACAGAAATAAAGTTTACCATTATTTTAAGCACCTTTGAAACTATAGATTGGACTAACAAAAGAGAGTAGGAAAATTTCGTTTCAGTAGCACTTTAAGATACCAGGGATTGCAGACTAGTTACTAGCATTCTTATTAGATTGCCTTGACATTTCCCATTTCCCATGTTCCTAGTTGCGATCGACTTCTGAAAAGAAGCAGTGTCACAACATGCATGGCACTTCTAGTCCTGCTTAGCTCCCTTACTGATATATTTCCATATGCAATCCACCGCATTTGCATCCCAGTACGGGTTGTGCTGTCCAAACGTACAATGCTGTGCAAAAGTAATACAAACGAAATTCGTCGAATTTTGTTCTTTGTTATCGCGAAATTTCGCAGACACCTGACGCCTTTCGAGACGAAAACTCACAGAAATTTTGCGGAAGGGAACCAAATTTCGCAGAAGTAGTACCAAAATCACTCCAAGTAGCAAAAATAGATCTTTATTCTCCAAAATAGCATGTTTTGTAATTAACAAGTTAATTGAGTGCAAAAAGTACAAGTTTTACTTTCAAGTCATTATTTGTTAGCTCTTGCTTGATGTTGAGTCCTTAGCTGACACATTATCCCTTCGAGCTGAAGATGAAAAGTAAGGAAAAAAAATAACTGGTTTAGTAATCATATTTCAGTACCATGCAAGTTGATGTCATTTCTCGCTAATGATTGAAACATTTCATATCAAGGAGAATTCGGATATATATATATTTTTTTACCATTTCAGTTCTGTATTTATTATCATCACCTCTATTTTGTATTTTATAACACTGATAAGTTGTTTAGAGAATTAGAGGAATATTATTAATCTTGGTGCTGAATTCTAGTGCCCTGTTAAGAAGTTCAAAGCCGACCAAAACTCTTTTCACCCTAAGAACGCAAGCATCAAAAAGGTGAGTCTATCAAAATCAGAACAATCTGATTACGTTAATGACTTTCAATTAGCCCAAGCGCTTTATATCACTTTCACTTAGCTAACCCTTTGGCCGCTTCCAATTTTGTTGTTTTAAAATATAAGTGTGCAGAATACTCATTGTCAGCCAATCAGATTCAAGGGGAATTGCTTGATTGGTGGGCTTTCACATCGACTGCAGCCAAAAGTGGTTCTTCTTGTTGCCGACCAAAATGACCGCTGTATGTGGGTCACGAATGGTTGTACCATCTGTGAACAGTCCTTGATTTCTTCTCGCGTCAGAGAGTGAGAAATTCTGTTCAATCCCTTTCGAATTTAATCGTTGATTAGAATTTTTAGAAATTGCTATTTTTCACCAGGGTTTAAGGAAAAGATGGCACACGGCTCAAAGTCGATTGAATTTAATATGAATTAAGTTCGGGTTCTGAAAGCATAATATTAAACTAGCGCTCCTTTCTAAAGAAGCATGGCTAAAGATGGCCTCCATTGTTCGGTGAACTGAGCATTTTCAAGGCTCAAATTAATATTTACAAGCCCAGCTGGCAGCTATTCGCCATTTGAACTTCTAAAATGCAAATTTATGCAATATAAATTATATTTAAGAGTAGATGAACCGACGTTTCGAAGATCGAATAAAGATTAAACTTCAAATAAATGAGCAATGAAAGGACCAAAATCCAAATATATTCATTGAGGGAAACCTACGAGGTGTTGCACCTACACAAACGTTTAAAATGAGTAAACGAGTATTAAAATGGATCTCTTACCGCAAAAATTGCACGTTTTAGGGCAATCATCAATCATGAATGCTTGAACTCTGGGACTTGAACACATCTGAAGTGTTTGCAAAAGAATGCACTTATACGGGCTCATCTTGTCAACACAATCCTCTGATAAAAAAGAAAAAAAATCAGAAAATCCAAGAAAAATGGAGAATATACCAAACAGAAGCTCCACTAGGAAACAGATGATCAGAGAAGAAAAGTGCAGACGGGTAGACAGAATTATAGACAGACAGACAGAAAGACAGACAGACAGACAGACAAATAGACAGATACAATGTAGATAGACAGATGGACGGACGGATAGAAGGGAGCAAGGAATTAAAAGGAAGGCAGGAAGAGAGAAGAAACGAAAGAAGGAATCAAAGAAAGAGATACGAGTACGTGCATTGTATCAAAAAGATCAAGGCCAATGCCACAAACAGTTACACACGTGACTAAACTTCTCGCTGAGTAGAACTTATACATCTAGAGCATTATAGCCAGCCCCAACCTTAAAGTGTATATGACAGATACTTTTATTTGCTTGATGAAATCTTCATGAGATCGTGATGTGGAAATGGTAAAAAAAAAAAAAAAATTGGATATCGTTTTTTTTACCACGTTTTGGCAGTCGCAAAAAGTGGGATTAAGACCTGGAACTAGTCAGGCTGTGATGTCAAAACAAGAACGTAGGTCTACTTATTTTCGAACCAAACACATAGAAACGAAAAACATTACAGGAACTTACTATGAATTAGGCAATCAAGCGTACTTCCGATTTTGGTTCAAATTTGTAAACATTTACGAAAGATATGTAGACCTACGTTCTTGTTTTGATGTCACAGCCTGACTAGTCTCAGGTCCTAACCCCTCGCGGTTTCTGACCCAGCCGGAAGTAAAATTTAAACTGCACACGTCATGTTATATACGCATGGCCGTGCGTATATTTAAGCAATAGACCACAAGTTTTTATGGTTTATAGGCTGATAAACCACTTGGGGTGTTGGAAGAACACGAGAAGAATTCGTAATTCACGAGCCGCAGGCGAGTGATTTACGAATTCTTCGAGTGTTCTTCCAACATCCCAAGTGGTTTATCATGCCACTAAGCCATAGAAACTTGTGGCCTATTGCTTTTGTATAATAATCCAGAAGACACGCGAAATTTTCATGAGTTTACTGGAACAATAAACCATATTGACCAATCAGAGCGCGCACCTTCACTTGATTATTATATAAAGAGATTTCGTTCATGATGGCTCAATAGGAATTAGGTAGGACTAGCGCGCGCGCTATGTTATAAGGCAATATAGTAAATTTACTTTTTGAAACCGTTATTCCTAAGCATTATTTCGTTACAAAGTTATTTGATTTTTTTGTTTTGTTTTGTTTTGTTTTGCCTTCTTTCTCACCTTGACAGTTATACAATTTATTGATTTCCTCTCTGTCATAGTAACTCAGGCCCAGTCTCTGGCCAATGGTGGCTTTTTCATCCGTTGGCACTATTGTGGGAATGTTCCTATCTTTGCTGAACGCAAACTTGCTGTAATGCATCACACTTTGATAGTCATATGGCTTGCCAAAGCTAGAGCCCAGATCTCGCGGGTACTTTTGGAAATTGCGAGCATGTTCTACGAATGGAAAACCAGATTAATCTACCATCAATTTCACATTGGAATGGTTTGGCGAGCAGATTTATGTAATTATTTAGTGTCAACATCTGCTGTGACTATTGGTTTAGATTTCTCAATACATCTGCATACTCTCACCCTGCCTCACTACATGATGACCAGCTAGCCTTTTTTACGACGATGGCCACAAAAGCGTGCCTCGAGTCGTAAACATGGTCCTACTCGTGACTCTCGTGCGCAAAACCATACCGTCTGGACTAGCCCCAAGAAACCACTGTTATTTATATCAGCAGGAAGTGAGAAGGTAGGTAAGTTGTTCAAGTCTCCTCAAGGTGCATTCTTAGACCATCTGCGCACTTCTCCAGGTGAGTAAGTGAGTAATTTAATACAGAAATAAGCTTGATTATCAAGTTGACGTCGACAGCTTACATTGTAAGTTGACTGTTCTAAAGGCAAATTCTCCAATCACCTTAAACTATGTCGGATTATATAACAATGTTCTGCCATGACAGATTAATGCATCTTACTTTCATAAATGATACTCCAAACGCTGTATCCTATTTTATACCTAATTTTATCCTTACACTTTATCAATCTAAACGCTACAAAACCTCAGTGATAATCTGTTAAAAAACTTTTCGACCAGTCTCACCCTGTTCAATATTTTTCCAATCTATGTTGATGTATTTGTCGCGGTCCGGCCTGGTGTGTTCGTGGAAAAATCCCAAAGCGTGCATGATCTCGTGTACGACCGTCCCAATCCTCTCGCACCCAATGCCGATGGAAATATTCTGCTCGATATCACCGGGATCCCTGCCAATCCTGGAGTAACACCTTGTAATTGTGACAACAATAACAATTATCAGTTTGCGTTTGAAATACAGCCGTTAATAACAATTTATTGTTGTACAGCTGTAGCTTGTTAAGATACAATGCGAGCTGTGATTAGCTTAAAGTCGGGACCGGAGTTATGAAGACATGCTTATTAGGTGAAGAAAACGTGATAAAAATGTAATAAATTTCTTATTCACCGTCTGTCGTCATCTTACTCGGTTTACCAGTAAGAAATAATAATTATAAAGAACCTTAAAATTCATTAAATTTATTGCATTGTTGAATATGAACCTACCCATCTCCGCTGAAGAACCTCACATAACTTTTATGCTGTGTGTCTTTTTTCGGAAGTTCGACAAACTTCAAGCATGTCCTTTCCTTCAGATGGCGAATTCCTTGTTTGATAAGATCAACGGTAAAAGGCGCTAAAGGAGAAAACATAACATAGTTAATAATCAACTAAGTAGAGCCTCCACTGATTGGGTTTCGATTGGAAAACTGCATGGGGAATTGCGATACCATCTCTACCGTTAATAACACACCTAAAGCCTCGTCAAACGTGTAGTAAACTATCCCTTTCGGCCAATATAGAACCGGACTGACGACAGCGTCACGTGATGTGATCTCTCCACCAGTAAGATATCGTTCCGTGTCTTTATCGATGACAATGTCCCCTTCAAATAGACCTAAAAGAGTGAACACAATGGAAATTTTTCAGCCTGATAATACAACGTGTGAATAAAGCCTGTTTAAGTCATATTGAAAAGATAATGTAATAACATGAATACAGTCTGCTCCGTGAAGAAAATAAGGTCTTGCTAAACGAAATTCGTGTTATAAGTTCAAAGCCCATAAGAATCACGTGAGAGAAATTAAAGGGGATCTGTCCTGCATAGTTGACTATTCCTTTCCGTTTTCTGCGAGGCAACGCGAAATAACCGAGAACTAATGATTGTGATTTTATCGAAACAGCGTCCGTTTTACTCAAAGAAAGTGGAAAGAGTAAAATAAACCTTTAGTGCCTATATTAGGTCGCATTGTCTGGTGTTTAGTTGGAAACATTGCTTCCTGTTATGTTCCCATTTCAAAGCCCTTTACCGACAGACGTGCTCCTTGTTCCCCAGGCCTTAATCATTTTGTTTTCCTATTTTGCCTCCCTTTGAGGCACGCAGTAAAACGATTTTGTCTACAGGTGTAGCTGGTCTATCTGTTATTTGTCAACCTGTTTTCGGCGACCTATTCTCCGATAAGTAACCAAATCAAATACAGGTCAAAAAGTTGTGCCTTGTTGTCACCCACTAAGAAATGGCACAGCGCATATCATAAAAAAAATACAATCAATATCGCAGTGCTAGCAGATAGCTTGGAAAGATGTGTCCCTTTTGTAACTTTAAGCTCCTTGATGTTCACAAGGCACAGGAAAACATTTTAAGGCTCAGACACGCTAAGTTATCGGTGGACGAAAACTGGCATCTTAATCAATAGGCCATTTCCGAGATGCCTTTTGCCTCTGTGTCAAAACAAGTCTCCGAGCGAAACTATTCATATGGAAATGTGTTCGCCCTACAGGTTCATTTTCATGTCAATTTATCTCATTTTCATATGAAAGGTTTTGCACGAAGACTAAAATGGCCCATTGAGCTGGCTCAGTTTGTCTTACCAGTGGTCTCCTCTGATCTTGTTTTATCAACATCATTTTCAACTGCAATTATTAAAATATCGTAGAGTTAATCCAGGATACGTAACTGGAAAACTTGTAAACAATAGCCTCCATTTGGCGCGGAACAGGAAATATGCTCGCACATTTGTCCGCGGACATTGTCTGCTCCGAGAAGCGAACAGTTCTCCGAGAGCGTAGCTCGAGGAAAACTGTGAGCTTTGAGAAACAGATAATGTCCAAGGACAAATGTCCGAGTATATCGTCGCGCAAAATGGAGGCTATTGTGTTTATTATCCTTTAAATATTTTTCTTAACACTCGCAGTTTTCAAAATTGGGGAATGTCACTCGGATATTGCCAGTTTTAGCTGGGGAATACTTAGTCACGTGACGTGTTTAAGCCAATCGCGCGCGAGCGAAAATATTTGATGGATTATAAAACACATTATATATTAAACAATTCATCATCTTTTTTTCTGAGATTATAGACCGAGCTAGAACGTTGAAGGAATAGACCGATTCCGATATCTTAGAATTCTAACTTGGCTCCGAGACTCAGGGAAATGAAACAAAAAAAACCTTTTATTCATCACTTTAACCTCGACTTGATTTCTTTTTTTTTTTTTTTTTTTTTTTCTCTATTAACGTCGGAGCCAAGTTTGAATTTTAATATATTGAAATTGTTATTCTGACATCGACATTTCCCAAAAGAGGGACAACTTTTAGCCTTATTTGCGGTATAAAGGACATATAGCCTATATAACCTTCAAAAAAAATGCACGTATGTTTATCTTTAGATCACTTCCGAGATCTTAGATCTATCCAAAAATTAGTATTACTAGAAGCTATGAATTCTGTCATATTTGTATTGAAGTAGACAGGACAAGAGTGGCAATTGCGATTTATATTCTTCAGGTTTCACGAGTGTACAGGTAAGATTATTTAATAGATCTAGTGCTACATGGCAAATTGTCCTATAGAGCATTAGACATTGCATTCCTGTCTAGCTGGCTTGTTTTCTTGAGTGCCCAGCTGTCAGTGTAGAAAACAACATATTATCGAGACTTTTTAAATGAGCGACTCCTTTAGGGCTTACATGATTTCCCTTATAATAGATGTGCCATCGTATTTACGACTTGGCTATGTTTACGTTGGTCATATGTCCCTCTTTTGTTTTTCCGTGTTGCCCTTTATTTTGAGATGAATTTAACAACAAAAACATTGGTTCTTTCAGTTTATGTTATTTACGTGTTAATTAAGCGAAAAGCTATAGGAGAATCTTTGTTTACAATATTTGCCTCATTACCATAAGCGATGCAGTTTCTGATGGGGCTACAAAGAGATTAATACTGAATATTGAAAGGGCACAGCACGATTAACTCTCCCAAGGAATTTGAGCGCGACGTACTGAATACTTTTTGTGCGACGAGGGTTTAAAAGCTTAAAATTATACATAGAATGTATGAGCTCATTAGCGCTTTTGCCACACAGAAATTTTGATGTTTTTGAAAGCCAATTTCTCCTCGAATATTACACCAAAAGAGCCAAAAATTCTACCACTTACTAAGTTTCACAAGCTCTTTAAGTTTTTCTCGTAAAATGGTATCTAGCATGATTCCTTGTATGTGCAAAGTCGTATGTTAATGAGGAAAAATGTAACTGACAATGACGTCAAAGACTCGCCTATAGCACTGTCCCTGGATAAAGGAAAGCAAAATAAACCACGTTGGGACTTGAATTCTACCTATCACAAACCTCAAAACTTCACCCTTTGTAGCTCTTTGTCGACCTTTTAAGTTCGATTTTGTTTGTTAGGACGCCAGGCTTGCCACAGTTTTGAAAGATTTTAGTTCGTTTAAAGAGAGGGCTTAGGACGATCTTCAAAAGTTCCAGTTGGAGCTGATCCGCATTGGGCTACCGGTCATCTCGCCACCAGGGAGTCTCGTCACCAACAAGCTCGCCACCAAGCGAAGTCCCCTCGCCACCAATAATCTAACAAGGCAGTGGATGAAAGAACGAGGAATAACCTATATATGCGACTCGGAAAAAAAAGCTAAGAAGGCAATGCGTTGTCCATTTCAGTGATACAAAAGACCACTGCACAATCATAACAAGAAAGTAACAAAACGAGAGCGCGGCAAACCGATTCGCCAGCTAATTCACCTCGACTACTTTACTCGACTGGTTTATCTTTTTGTTGGTCTTTGGTGGCGAGGTGACTTCGCTTGGAGACGAGTTCTTTGGAGGCGAAATTCCCTGGTGGCGAGGTGACCGGATACTCTGCATTGACATCACATAAGCTGTGAACAGGAATTGCACAGTTGCTCTGGCAAAGTTTGTCCACTTAGCTTTACGTGACACTGGAACTGAATCTTGTAAATAATATTTCGCAGGGTGTTTGCATCTCTTTCGGATCTATCAGGAACCAAGGGCAAGCCCAAGGGCAAACAGCTTTAATTGTGCATGTACTGAAAATGGCAATAGTTGACAAGAATCTCTTGTGAAATATCGCATTAGCATTGCATTGCGGGATGCTTATGTTGGCTGAGGCATATCTTGAAAATTTGAGAGGCTCATAAATAAAAATATGAGGAATAACTTAGATTGTATCAGCATTAAGGCCCATGCCACACTTTTAACAATCTTAAAACGGCCCCCGCTATCTTTTCGATAGATGCGTTAAAATTGTTCTCTATAATTATACATACTGTAGTGAGCGAGCAATCCCAAAACTGAAACTCGCTGGAACCGCTATGAAACGGCCAAAAAGAAAACACGCGGAACAAACAAAAAGAAAAATTAAGGAATTTTGCTATATTTCACTACTATTTTCAGCTTTTAAACAGCGATCGCTAGAATTCCTAAACCAATCCTTATAACTTATGTTAGCTATAACGATTTACTCTTACTTATGAGCTTGCGCTAACATAGACTTTCTAAAAGTCCTTTCCACCAATACTTCACTGGCCTTTTGGTTGTAAGTCTAGCCTCAACTGTGCCTTAACGAGGGAAGTTGCTAGTTTTGGTCCCCAAGCTAGAATATACGACTTATGCAAAATACTTCGTTTCGTCTGACGAAAAGCTCGCAAAATGAAACTGAAGGAGATCAACATTAATCTTAAGTGCGGGGCTGTAATATTGCCTTGAAAAACAACACTCTATGATTAGTTCTAGGCGCACCTGTGCACCTGTGTAAGAAAAATTTCAATTTATGTGTCACTACCGATGTGAAAAGACAAAATAACTTGCATCAAAAGAAAATGGAATTGCTTGCATACGTCACGGTTGAAATAATTACTAAGATCAGGTACATGTACAGAGGCTATTAAAGATCAAAATGTCCTCGAGACAGTTTCGAAAGGGTAAAGAAAATGCTGCGAATCCGTCGTTTCCTAGATAGTATGAGTAGATAACAGCGCAATCAGGACTGTAAGCCGACCGCGAAGTCATCACAGCTGCTTTTAGTGCCTGCTAACAAAGAGAAATTTCCGCTTGTTATTTTATACCGGCTGCAGTTCTTAAAAATAGTCAGAGATCCGCTGGAGGGCTAGTGTATTCTCCTGTAGCCGAATTAAATTCCGTGCAGCCGGTGCACGCAACCAATGAACAAACCCGTTTCTTTTCGCATGTAACCTGACTCTTTAATAAATTTTGACAGTCCGCTTTTGAAGATTTGCCTTCTCTTGAAGATATGTCTTCGACAGAGCAATGCAATACTAATACGATATTTCGAAAGAGATTTTGTTAATTGTAGTTACTTTTAATACATGTACAATATTTGTTATTGTCCTTGGTCAGAGGTGCTTTTGGTTCCTTTGACAACTGAACGCACGGAGACAGAGATTCTTGCGACAAAGTAAACGAGAAACTGAAATCCAGAAGAAGAGCGACTACAGTTATGTGCTGTTGGTGTTTTTGTTACTCTCCGGTAGTTTTGCATGTCTTTCTTCACTAACATTTCCGTCACGGCAGATATATGAATCTCCAGTACCGTCAGTTCCGTTCCCGCGCCGCTTCAACGGAACTTCAGTTTAGGCTCATTGATCCCAAACTTTAGAATCGTGTTTGACTAGTTATTTTACTGTTATCAAAGCTGGAATTTGCTACATACATGGTCATTACCAGTCTACTGCAATCTTTTCATCAAATTGAGCAAAATTGGGAAGTGAAAGTCTACGTTGTCATGCCTGCGTGTCAAGGGCCAAAAAAGTGTCTATTGTTAGACAAGACGGACATTCTGGAACAACCAACACACTCGTTTTGTACTGATCAATACGTGTCATACGTCATTTGGTCAAATGTACTTGATTAGCAAAAAATGAGGAAAAAATATAAAACCTTCATGAATATGTATTTACTTGAATCCTCGAAACATACGATCTATTCACGCAAACATTGCCAAAAAATTATGTCTCTTCTTAAAGGGAATAAACCGTATGATATATATTTTGTCTGGCGTTCATGCGAGAAAATATAATGAAAACCTCACCAAAATTCACCTTACTGACCAACATCAATACACAGACCTTTGGTCAACAAATTATGCGTATATATCTGACTGAACTGAAACGGAATAAAACATGAAACCTCGAAAACTGCGCTAAAAAATGTTTCCCGTGGTTGCTACTGATGAACAGTTTCTAGGAATCTTAGCTCAAAGAACTTGGCAACAGATTCAAGCGAGAATAGATCAGAAAATTGTCGCTATTAGTCAAAGACTGCATGTGAAACTACACCAATAAATGGAGCAGCACTTTTTAAACTTTGGGCGAAAATAAATAGAAAGAAAAAGGACAACGCTTTTGTATTGTAGTACCCACCGATATCCTGTATTAAGAGGTCCACACGATCTGTCTTTGAGCGTATTCTGCAGTGAACAACAGCAAAATAGAAGAGAAGGAGAAGAAAATTGGTTCTCATCGCGACAATCCACTCGCTGTGTTCGATCGGTTACTTTCGGAACAAATATCAATACTGCATATTGCACCAGTGACTGATATAGATTTTGGACCTCATGGGATAGCCCTCAGAGTAGAATTTTTCCTGCTCTTTCAAATCAGCTGGCCCAAAAATTCCTTCTACAAAAACGTTCTCTACGATGTCAAAATATTGCAATGGTACTTGGTTTGCCCAGTCAAAGGCATTTAACTAGTTTTTTTATGTGTGAGTAGTTTTTCCGGTTTTAAATTAAACTTCAGGTGTCGTAACCAAGATTTTGTTATTACTCTGTCGCGCTTGAATACCTCACATTGTTTCTCGACACAAAAGACTAGTGGATAAGAACAATAAAGTTAGTTTGTGTTGAGTTCTGAGCGCGAAAATAATGAATCTGAAATAACTACCGTTTCATGGTATCACAAAAAATAAACATATTTTAAGATAATTGTTATAGAGTTGACCCAAAGTCTCCGTCTTAAAGTCAGCCGATTCATTATGGCCAAAACATTTTGATTTCTAACTTGTTGACGACCATCCTCGGGGACCCAGGGGCTGCTAGTTGGGACAATGCGATATTTTCGGGTGAGCGATGTTTTCAGGCGAAAGTTTACTTCAAGAGCGGAAGAAACTTTCGCCTGAAAATATCGCATCGTCCCAACTAGCAGCCCCTGGGTCCCCGAGGATGGTTGACGACATTTCCTGCTCGAATGTACAAGTAGCTAGAATTATTTACAGCTGTCTTAGCCAAGCGAGTATAAGAGGTATCGCCGACATCCATTCATTATCATTTCGATAGACTGACTCGAGCAGTTATGCCTGATTCGGTCTTAAAGTCCAAAAGCAAACCTCTTCAAGAGAATGTCGAGCAAAACATGGCTCCGACCGAGGTATTCGCACAGGATAACCCTAAACAGCTAAGGCCCAGTTCAGACGCCGAACTTTTCATGAGCCGAACTTAATTCGAATTTGGACCGACCCAAATTATCAAAAGCACACCTGTTGATTCAGACGTCGAACTTAATTCGCCGAACTTTATTTAGTTTAAACCAAAACACATCGAAATATCAGCGATTTTCAGGCAAAGTAAAAACTGCTTGTAAAATACGTTATAATAAGTTATGCATTAGGTTCGGCTCATGAAAAGTTCGACGTCTAAATCAAAGCCGTTCCAAAGCCGAAATTCCCGGCTGAGCTAGGCGGGAAGAACGGCTGGGCCGTTCCAAATTCAAATAGCCNGTTCTTAACTGATTCAGACGCCGAACTTTTCATGTACTTAATTCAATATATTTGGTTCGGCTCATGAAAAGTTCGGCGTCTGAACTGGGCCTAAGTAACTTTTGCCCTTTCTGTTGTACTTCGCTTTCCACTTTCATGTTTGTACTTGCCGTATGCGTTTATCCGTGGGCCGCAAACCGGCTCATGGCATTTTATTTAGTTGGTCTGCCCCCTTTGGTAGTTTTGGTATTCTACGGTTTCCCAATTCTATTTTTGTACGTTTAGTCTAGTTTTAGCGGGGTTTTATCGTCTCTTTCGTTTTCGAGTTTATTCCAGTTTTGGGCAGTTTTTTTTTTTTTGCACCGTCTTCATTACCGCGTGCTCGCTTTAACTTTTTGGATATTCATAGCACTGTCACATTTACTTGCTTTTCTCCTGCTTTCCCGGCTTTGTATATTGTTTTGTTCTATTTGCTTTCCTCATTACCTGGGTCTAGTTTTATATTTTTGATCGTTACTTTCTTCTTCTGCCTCCCCGTATTTCCCTTGCACAATACGTTCCATAATTTGTTTTCTCATGGCCGATGTTTAGTTCGTATACTTTCCGGCATGAGTGTTTTATTAGTTGATTCCTCATGGCCGATGTTTAGTTCGCATATTTTCCAACAAGAGATGTTTTATTATTTGTTGCCTCATGGCCGATGTTTAGTTCGTGTATTTTCCGGCATGAGATGTTCTATTATTTGTTGCCTCGTGGCCGATGTTTAGTTGGTATATTTTCCGTTATGAGATTTTTACTATTTGTTGCCTCATCGCCGAAGTTTAATTTGTAAATACTTTGGTCCGAGATGTCATCATTTGTTGTCTTTTATAATGAAGTTTCCATGACACACGCTCTGATTGGCCGAAACAGCGTGCTTTATCAGATCTAGAGGACAGAGCACGGGTTGATGACGGTAAGCTGGCTGTCACATCTTTGCTTAGAAATTTTGACAAATTTGACCCAAATTAAACATCCCCTGTGACTCAGACAAACGCAATGGAAACGAGCTCTACGTCTGCAGTAAATATGGCTCACGGAGACCATTGTTAGCAACAGTAGTGTTAAAACTGTACTAAAATAACAAGTTATGCCCGATTCCCGCCGACAAAACACGTAGCGAAATGAACAAATTCTCAACCTAACCAGTGCTTCGATAAAATAACATTATATTTGTTATGAAAGCAGAAATTATACTTAAGAAGTAAAGCAACGACAGAAAACAATAATTGAGCTGTCTCTGTTTATGATGAGAAGCTATATTTTTTTGTAAAAATACTCAATTGCTCAAACAACACTTACATGAAGTGCAGTAACGCTCGTTCTCTGGTCATCCCAGCGAAGCGCATCGACGAGTGGTCAGTTCAAAGCTTGCTCTGATATTTCTCCTGTGCTCGGAGTAGAACCAGTGGGAGCAGTTTAATCTTTCTAACTTTTACCCTATTTCGGACAATCTTGCTGCTAGCGGCTGCAATCCGTAAATAACTGTAGCTCCTTTCAAATTCAACTCAGCATTTCGCATTTTTCATCCGCAAGCTTTGAGCTCCTTGTTTCGTAATTTCCATTGGAAAAGTGCACGTTTTCATGGCCACAATACGGCTGGATTCCTTTGGACTACAAACCTTTACCTAGCTTTAGATCCTTATTTAAAATTAACTAAAAAGCGAACTTTAAACATCGTTCTTCTCTCGAAAGCCGCTCATACCACAGGCCGCCCAGACGTTGAATACGATTGAATACGTGACATTATTCTGTTGGCGATTGCGTTACAATTTTAACCGTTTTAAGACAACGTATGAGAATGCTTCGAAAATTACTCTAAATGCCACGTGTAGAAAACAATTTGAGTAAAATGGCTTACCTTGTGTTTGCATTGCGTTATTTTGATGTCTCTGGGTTCCTGGAGGTGGTTTAGAGCCATTTAGGCGGGCGACCCACTGGCCCGACGGCACGCACTCAAAGCTCCGTAAATTCCACAAAAATGGTCT